TTGTAGAAAGACCTTATACCGTCAAACCATAGTTAATAAAAACAGAGGTGTTTTTAAAGAAGTGAACATAAAATTCTGCTCTTTTTCCATATCTCTCCTTAGCGGTTTAATGTCTTTTTATGAAATGTTCTAAATTCCTGCTTTTTTGTTCCAAATGTGTCTGTTCGCACTGGATGCCCCTAAGCAAATAACTGCCTTTTTTTCCTTTATTTTGTTCTTAAACTTCAAAAGCTAACAAGAGGCCCAAAGTTTTATCTTCTACATTCTTTGCCTTCCAAACCTACCATATTTTACTTTTTAGAATTTCTTACAGATTGCTCCATGGAACAGTTTTACTTTTAGGAGTGTGACTTTGAAGTGAATTATACAAAGGTGCTATTTATTTTCATCTTTCTAACATTTAGGGTGCCTTTAAGTGTCCATTGCTTTCTGAGTCTTAATAGATTACATTTTACTAATTTATAATTTAAACATAACAGCTATGAAGATGAATGTATAAAAGGGCCTGTAAATGACAGTCTTGCTTTTGCTGCCTCTCAGGAGAGAGAGTCATCCTGGTAATCTATAAATTTGAAGGACAGCCTGTTTTCCCAATCTCTTTTAACTTAGCAAGCTGTAGAGAACTGGACTTTTCCTCCTGCATTGCTGAAATAAGAAATTATGGTTGTAGAAGGCAACTTAGGACTCATATTTTCCAGACATTTTTCAAAAAGTAAATAAGAATTAAATGTTAATACATTTTCTGATTTTAAAAATGAGGATTATAGTTACTAATGGTCTGAATTTAATTTGGCAAGATCTGTAACATTTTTGTGAGAGATATATGGTCATTAAATTTGAAGACTTTTCATATTAATTTATAATCCATTTGATTCTCACATTTTTACATATACTTGCCTACGTTTAAATGCAGATTTTATTGGGTGAAATGTAAAATAAAATCAGCATTGTTAGGGAGGGAACTATCTAGACAAGTGTATATTCTTAAAAATATGTTTGAGAAAACTTATGTAAGATAGATTATTTAAACATTGTGTATATTTCTAAGTCTTTGTGTTTTCATTATAATTAAAACTTCTGTCTCATCTTTAAGACTCACCTCAGCAGATCCTTTGCTGGTCCTCAACTCAGTCTGCCTTTCCTTGGGTCTAACATTACCCATTATAGAGACCTCTGTATCAATTACATGATTGTACTGTGATTACTAACAAGTACATCTATTTAGGCTACTCCCTGAGAGCAGGGACTGATTATGTCTTTTCTTAGCATAAAGCACTATCCTGCCACGGTGTTATTAACCATTGAAGGTATGGGATTGTGGTATCAGAATTCTACCACTAACCCTATAATTTTAATCTTTTAAGACTAGAAAACACAAGGGACAACTGCAAAAGAACGCAGGAGAATCTTAACTGGGTTGGTGCCAGAAACTTCAGGGCAGAGCTCTGAGAAATTGGACTGAACTGTCAATGTTCCTAAAAGGCCTCTTCTATACCTCAGATTCAAAATTGAATGTCACACAACTGGCTAGTGACATGGAAGGCCTGACGGGAAGAGTATGCAGCACCAGTGAAGAAGTGATTGAGCTTTTTCCCATGTGGTCCCTGACTCAGCTTACCCCTTTGGCCATATGGGATGAAAAGATAAGATGGAGAGGGTCCCAACCATGTGTACAACCTTTTAAAATTTTTTTTTTTAATGTTTTATTTATTTCTAGGAGAGAGAGAGAGAGAGGGAGTCACAGACTGAAACAGGCTCCAGGCTCTGAGCTGGCAGTCAGCACAGAGCCCGACGCGGGGCTCGAACCCACGAACCGCGAGATCATGACCTAAGCGAAAGTCGGACGCTTAACCGACTAAGCCACCCAGGCGCCCCTTTGTGTACAACCTTTTAAAGCACAGTGATTCCACTTTTGAAAGTGATATAAGCAAGGTTCTCAAATTTAACACATCATATTAGTGTTTCCTCATCTTTTGGAATGATGTGAATAGCATGAAGAGACTTGACTGTATCTTCTTTCCTTAGAGCTTTCTACGTGAGCTTTCAATAAATGTTTATTTATCATGAGATCAGTTGCCTTTTCAAGTAAATTTGTATTTATTTCTGACATATCCTCTTCTTACTATTTTGATGTTCTTATCCTGAATTTTGAGATTCACGTGTTCTTAGTATTTTTGTGACTTGTACACTGCTAGCATTATCATTACTTAGTGTTTGTATTGGTGTAGGCAAGATGTATAAATAGTCCCAGGAGAGTTCTTGAATTTTATTTGACCTTTGTGCATAATGTATCCAAATGGAGTTGGACCATTATGAAAAGAACATTAACATAACTAACTATACTTAAGAATAGAAAGCTCTCAGGTCGCCTTGGTGGCTCAATGGTTAAGCATCTGACTTCAGCTCAGGTCATGATCTCACAGTTGTGGTTTGAGTTTGAGCCCCACAGCAGGCTCTGTGCTGACAGCTCAGAGCCTGGAGCCTGCTTCAGATTCTGTGTCTCCCTCTCTGTCTGCCACTCCCCCACTCACACTCTGCCTCTCTCTCTCTCAAAAATAAATAAACATTAAAAAAAAAAAAGCTCTGAGGTCTTTATTTGAAAAGACATTTATTCATCTTGTTAAGTATTGTACCATTGCAGCCAAAGTTTTAGTCATTTGAGTTATCACCTTTTTTTTGGTGATACAAAAAAGTGAGAATATGATATCTGACTTGCGTACAGCACAATTAGTAATGGATAAGTGCAAATGATTTAATTTGGGGTTTTGTGCTATTGATAGCACTGATTCCATGAAGTCAGTTAAAATGTGTACCTTATTAGAGGCACCTGGGTGGCTCAGTCAGTTAAGCATCTGACTTCAGCTCACATCACGATTTTGTAGTTCATGGATTCGAACCCCGCATGGAGCTCTATGCTGACAGCACAGAGTATGGAGGCTGCTTCGAGTTCTGTCTCTCTCTCTCTCTCTCTTCCCCTCCACTGCTCTCTCTCTCTCGCTCTCTTTCTCTCTCTCTCTCTCTCTCTCTCTCAAAAATAAACATTAAAAGAAATTTTTTAAAATGTGTACCTTGTTAGATTATTCAAGTGCTACATACATACTAATATAAAAGCAAAATAAGAGCAATTTTAAATAATGAGGCATCTATAAGGTCTTGTTTTGGGGGTATGTGGAGACCTACAAAGGAGACTTTTTTTTTTTTAATTTATTTTTGAGACAGAGAAAGACAGAGCATGAGCAGGGGAGGGGCAGAGAGAGAGGGAGACACAGAATCCCAAACAGGCTCCAGGCTCTGAGCTGTCAGCACAGAGCCCGACGCAGGGCTCGAACGCACAGACCACGAGATCATGACCTGAGCCAAAGTCGGCCACCCAATCGACTGAGCCACTCAGGGGCCCCTAAAGGAGGCTTTTTAAAGCTTCTATTTATTTTTTTTCTAGTTTTATTGAGAAATAATTGACATACATCACTGTATAGCTTAAGGCATACAGCCTTGATTTACATCTATTGTGAAATGATTACCACAGTAGGTTTAGTTAGCATCCATCATCTCATGTAGATACTGTGAAAAGAAAAAAAGATCTCCCTGTGATGAGAATTCTTAGGATCTACTCTCCTAACAAATTTCCTATATATCACACAGCAATGTTAGCTGTAGTCATCATGTTGTACATTACATCCTTAGTGCTTGTTTATCTTTAACAGGAAGTTTGTACCTTTTGACCACTTCTCCAATTTCCCTTACTTCTTTCCAACCCCTGCCTCTGGTAACCACAAATCTGATCTCTTTTTCTGAGTTTGGTGGTTTTGCTTTGTTTCTAGATTCTACATAGAATGAGATCATACAGAATTTGTCTTTATGTGTCTGACATATTTCACCTAGCATAATGCCTTCAAGGTCCATCCATGTTGTAATAAATGGTAGTATTTTATAATTTTTTGTAATCAAATAAAATTCCATTGTTTGTGTATATAACACAATTGTTTCTCCATTCATCCATTGATTGATACTTAGGTTGTTTCCATGTCTTGACTATCATAAACAATACTTGTATGAAAATAGGGCTACAGGATGTATTTCTGAGTTAGTTTATTCATTTCCTTTGGATATATTCCCAGCACTGGAATTGCTAGATCATATGGTAGTTCTTTTTTTAATTTTTTGAGGAATCTTCATACTGTTTTCTACAGTGGCTGTGCCAATTTACAGTCCCACCAACAGTGCACAAAGTTTCCTTTATTCTCTTAACTCTTATCTTTTCAGTGATGGCCATTCTAACAAGGCATTGAGGCAATATTGCATTGTGATTTTTAATTTGCATTTCTCCAGTAACTAGGGATGTTGAGCATCTTTTCATGTACTTGTTGGTCATTCATATATCTTCTTTGGAAAAATGCCTATCCAGGTCATTTACCCATTTTTAAATTGCATTATTCGTGTTTTTTTGCTGTTGAGTTGTATAAGTTCTTTATGTAGTTTGGATATTAACCACTTATCAGATATGTGGTTTCTAAATACCTAAAGATTTCTGTAGTTATTTTATTTTCACTTTTTAATGGTTTCTTTTGCTGTCAAAAATATTTTTAGTTTGATATAGTCTCATTTACTTACAAATGTTGTTGCTCATGCTTTAGGTGTGATTTCCACAAAAATCGTTATAAAGACCCATGTCAAGGAACTTTTTTCCTATATTTTCTTCTAAGAGTTTGATGGCTTCAAATTTTACATATAAATTTTTAATCCATTTTGAGTTAATTTTTGCAAGTAGCGTAAAGATCAGGTTTTATTCTTTTACATGTGACTGTCCAATTTTCCCAGCACCATTAATTGAAGAGACTGTCTTTTCTCCACTGAGTATTCTTAGCTCCCTCATCAAATATTAGTTGACCATCTGTATTTGGGTTTATTTCTGGCCTCTCAGTTGTGCTTCATTGGTCTATTTATCTGTTTTTATGAAGGAGGCATTTTTAATAATTGATTATCTTGTGTCCTTTGCTTAGGGTGTTCCAGTGATGGCAATAAGAAACAAAATGATATCGGAAGGACTAGACCCAGATCTTCTTGAGTAAGTAATTCTTCTAATATAATATACCAATATATTGAATTTATCATTTACAATAAAAATATTCCAAGGTCTGTTTTTTCCACTAAACAGTGTTTTATGGTTGAAGTAGCCACCTTCATAAAGAGTATCTCTGCTAATATTACAAAATTGAAAAATCTAACCTATGCTACTAAAACCAGCCTTTGCATATTTTAGGAGCAGTTTCAATAGATCATTGATGATCATATATATACCTATATGTGTATATATATATCCCCAAAAGAGATGGAATTTGATGACAGTTTTGCTGCACAGGAGTAATGTCCACTTGAAGCAGGTTTTTTTTCTTTCATACTACCTTTTTTTCCTTTTTATTCTATTTCCTTCCTTCCTTCCTTCCTTCCTTCCTTCCTTCCTTCCTTCCTTCCCTTTCTTTCTTTCTTTCTTTCTTTCTTTCTTTCTTTCTTTCTTTCTTTCTTTTCTTAAATATATACCAGATTTTTTAAGACCTTGTATATAAGAAATTTACTCTACCATGATCTGAGTTGAGCCAGATTGAGAAATAAAGTAAAGCCACTCTAGGTCCACATTAATAATTATTATGAAACTAGATATCTGTTTGTGTGAATTTTATAAAAAAAATTTTTGAGAAATGCTGACAAATTGTGGCTCAGAAATTTGACAATAATTTATTCCATCCAAGCAAACCTGGCTACATAGCTCATTCTGAATAAAATATATCTTAATGGATTATTCAGAGCTAGTCTGTTTTTCAAGTATCTAGATACTTGTAAAAAGTCCTGTTTGGGGTTTTAGTTCACCCCAATGTATTTGGTTATGTTATCCAGACATTCATATTATACTAGCAGCATACTTTGAAATTTTTCTTGGCTCTCAGCCCTTCAAGAAAATGTGTGCATTTTGGAGTTGAAACACCATAAAACAATCTTTTTCTCATACCTTATCTTTTAAAAATAATATTTAAGAATTTTTTAAGTCTGTAAGAACAGATTCCCAGCATGTATCTACATTTAGTATATATCCAAGTAGCAAGCAGTTCAAGTACAGTGGCATATATTGGTGATTTGAACTAAAGCATCTCCAGGACATTTGGCAGTTGTTCTGGAAATTGTTTCTGACACACACTTGAAAAGCAGATGGATTGTGACATATATTTTAATGTGAATTGAACATATGGGTCCAATGCATCTTGGTATTCTTTGGAATATATGTTATAAATATATTTAACATTGACCATGACCTCTTTTTTGCTTCTGGAAATACACAGTAGATCTTTTATAATAACAGAGAGCTAAAAGGACCTTTAAAATATGATTTTTCTCTCTAGAGAAAATGTAATGGAAAACTAACAGTCCAATAAGTATCAACATATGTTGAATATCCAGTTTCTTTACCCCCTACTGGCTTCATTTTATCCTCTGCCCAGCCTAAATCTACTTCATAATCCTTTACTTCAATCAGCTCCCACACCAGGAACTTGAAAGTCATCCTTGATTTTACCCTCTTCCCTGTCCCTGACTATGTCACTCACTATGATTTTTTTCATTTTTAATCTCTCACAGCTGACCACATCCCTCATCATTCCTTACCTGAATTATTATAATAGCTCCCCATTGGTTTCCTTATTCTCTTTCAGTCTGTTCTTATTTTATTCTTATTTCAAAAGTTTCTGTGACTCTCAACTGCCTTTAACACAGAGTTTAACAACTTAAAATTGCATTTAGATGCTTTTATCATCAAGACCCAGACTCTTTTGCTTCATTTCTTGACACTCTCCCGTATATTCCTATCTCCTGGAGCTGTAGCAGACTATTTGCAGTTCTCTGAATTCTCATATTCCCTTTTGATGTCTTCAAAATCTTTTTTACCTCTCCTTGGAACTCGCTGGCCTGGATAATTTCATATTAATTAAGACTCCATTTAGGTATCACCATGGGAGGAAGTCCATGGATGACTACCAAGGGGAGAATGCCCAACACCCCAAAACTTCATTGATGTATCTCGTTTAGAAGTTTGAAGGCTGTCATTGTCCGTAAATGTTGAGAAACCTTCAGTTGCAAGGTGGTGCCAAGTTTTGGGGTAGAATTCCAGTAACAGTTAACATTGTCTTACAGACAAGCTGCTCCTCAACCACAGCCTGGAGCCTGAATTCGGATCCATTTCCTCATAAGTACATGCCATTGGTCACAAGGATTGGAATGGGGGTGACTCACTATAACCTATCACTGCTACTACTAGAAAACCAGCTTCAGCATTTAGCTAGATACGATAAGTGAAATCAACCATCTTGTTAAAGAGGAATCCTGTCACTTTAGGAATCATCTTTATAGAAAATTAGGAAGCCTGACTTTAGGAGAAAAGTCAGAGATGCCGAAGGAGAGAAAATGTGCCATCTGAGGGAAAAGTGCACTTTTATTGAGAATCTTAGTACAAATTAAGCCCCAGCCAAGAACTTTCAGTAAAGACTGTTTTGTTTTTCCTTTAAAGTATAAGCATACGCTTTTTTTATATTAGCCTTAAGTGGTAAGACCAACTCATACAATGCTTAGAATAAGTCTAGATCTGTCTGCACTGAGCAAAGAGCAAAGCTGAAGTTGATATAGAAATAAATACTCATCAAAAAACATTATTATTTCATTGACTTGTGTGGATAAAAATTTGGAAGCTACGAGTACATAATTTTAAAATAAAACAGTTTATATAACAAAGGAGAAAAAAGACCTGGCTATTTTCCTAGAAAAATGACTGTCATTGAATTTTAGAAACTCTATGAAACTGAAGAAAATGCCTGATAGTTACCAAATAAAATTGTTTGCTACTTCTAAATGATTAATTATTTTTGAAACTCCCAAGTTTTTGAAAATAACAATAGCGCTTATATAACCAAGAATTATTCCTGTTTAGCTTGTAAAAATTAGTTTCCAGTGCCACTGAAATAAAGATATGTAAAGGAATAACTCTGTCACCATCATACTCTAAAGAGTTTAAGGGGAGGGACACGTGGTGGTTCAGTTTGTTAAGTGTCCAAGTTTTGATTTTGGCACAGGTCATCATCTCACAGTTCCGTGGGATGGAGCCCCACATTGGGCTCTATGCTGACAGCACAGACCCTGCTTGGGATTCTCTCTCTCAAAATAAACACACACACACACACACACACACACACTAGTTCAGGGGTGCCTGGGTGGTTCAGTCAGTTAAGAGTCTTGACTCTGGCTCAAGTCATAATCTTCACAGGTCATGTTTTCCAGCTCCACATAAGACTCTGTGCTAACATCTTGGACCTTGGAGTCTGCCTCAGATTCTGTGTCTCTCTTTCTCAAAAATAAACAAACATTAAAAAATATAGTTTAAGGGGAGAGAAAATGGAAATTTTTTGAGGTTAATCTATTCTAGTTTTGCATTCAGAACTATAGAAGAGTAAATTCTTTTAATCAATGCAAATTTTCTTATCAGGAAAAAAATATTTTCTCCCTTTCCCTGGTCCTTTGTATACTTTTATGTCCTAGAATTGTGGTTACTATTATTACCTAGTAATTACTACTTTTACTATTCTAGGATATATAGACTAGCCTCTGGACCTGCCCAGCAAGAGATGAAATTCATAATAGTCATGGCTCAGCCTAAGGCAGACTCTAGAAATGGTCTGCATATTCTGATTCAGTGCCCTGCCACTGTCTAGCAGTATGACCCTGGACTATTTAATTGCTCTGTGCATAAATTTACTCATCAGTAAAATGGTAAATAGGACTTCACCCTTCACAGAGTTGTTCAGACTAAGTTAGAGAATGATGTAAGCACTTAACACAGCTCTGGACAAGCAGTAAATGTCCAGTAAATGTTAGTTGTGATTTATGAATGTTTTAATGAGGGAATAGGTATCAATGGATTTTCCAGGCTTATGGATAGCAACTTATTTATAATCCTCTAGTTGCCTGTATACCATTGTGTTTTCAACAAAGACATATTTAACATACACAGAGTAGTTATCCTTTTGACTTATGCTGTTTTCTCAAACCGAAAAATGTATATTTTAAACTTTGCAGTAGAGAACAGACTTCTGAAGTTGAAATTCAGCTGGTTAGTCACACTCTTAGTAGTAGTATGTGTGGGGGTGGGTACAGTTTGTAGCATTTTTTGAGGTAAAAATGGTATATAATATTTTGTAAGTTTCAGGTGTACAACATTGTAATTTGACATCTGTATACTCTGTATATACTACAAAGTGATCACATACCTCACTCTATTCACTCATTTTGCCCACCCCCACCCTGCTCTCTTTCTGGTAACCTTTCTGTTTTCTGTACCTATGAGTTAAATTTGTATTATTTTGTTAATTCATTGGTTTGCTTTTTTTTTTTTATTTTAGATTGCACATGTGAGTAAAATCATTTGATATTTGTCTTCCTCCGTCTGACTTATTTAACTTAGCATAATACCTTCATGGTCCATCCATACTGTTGTAAATGGCAAGATTTCATCCTTTTTTTATAGCTGAGTAGTATTCATTATATGTATACATATACATATACATATATGTATATATATATATATATACACACTACAACCTCTTTAACCACTCATCCAATGATGGACATTTAAATTGTTTCCGTTTCTTGGTTATTATAAGTAATGCTGCATGAACATAGTGGTGCAAATATCTTTGCAGCATTTTTGTATTCTTTGGATAAATACCCAGAAGTCAAATAGCTGGATCATATCTTCTTAATTTTTTGAGAAATATCCATACTGTTTTCCAACATGGCTGTGCCAATTTACATTTCCATCAGTAGTTTATGAAGCTTACCTTTTCTCCAGATCCTAAGCAATACTTGTTATTACTTGTCTTTTCAATAATACCCATTCAACCCAGTGGCAGATGATATATCATTGTGGTTTTGATTTGCATTTCTCTAATAATTAGCTATGTTGAAGGTGCTTTCATGTGCCTTTTGGTCATCTGTATGTCTTCTTTGAGAAAATGTCTACTCAGATCCTCA